TAAGTTTAATAATTTTTAATATATATAATATGTTATTCTAACATCAATATATTATAATATATGTTTCGGTAGGGATTTGTAGGATTGAGACACTAACCTTTTTCCAACGTGGCTTTGGTGCTTTCCGACGCTAGAATTGAGTGCTCCGCTCGGTTGGAATCTATATGTCGTTCGGTTGGACTCTTGATGAGGGGAGGTACCCGCAAAAGGCACTCTGATGCTCAAGTTAGGAGCGGTTTTATGAACTGTTTATCACAGCTTAATATTTAAGTCCTGATCAGATGTAAGTAGAACGTAGTGGAGTCTCAGTTGAACGTACCTAGCTTTTAGCCCTAACCTTATATTTATAAGTGTCTCATAGATGAAATAATAACAAACTTACTTGAAGATTTGGCTAGTTATTCATCAACAGCTTTATCAATATCTGTAATAAGATATCTTTGGTTATTTTAACCGTCTATTGGACTTTTGGCCCAATAATAAAATAAGCATTGGCCTAATTATGGCCTAACATTAATAGAACCGTTTGACTTGGTTGGTCATAGTGGTGACCGAACGATGTTGTGTGGATGATCGTTCGGCCTCTACTAGGTACAATACATATGCCCTCCAAGTTCAAGTTAAGCGTTCGGCTTTAGCCATGATTAACTATAGGACTTGTGAGTTTGAGGGAGGCTACTTTTAGTCATTGCTTGTAAATGATCGAACAATTTTCTTCAACCGAGGTTGTAGAATGCTAAGCAGAAGGGGCCGAATGGCCAAATACCTGAGACCGAATGGTCGAATACCTGTGAGGCCGACTGGCCGAAAATTGGAGAGGCTGAATACCTGTTGTCGCAACCGGGATCGCGAAGGGACGACGAGCCGAAAAACAAACGGGTTTGAGAAAAAGGTTTTGGGAGTCGCCACCATAATTTATTATGGAAAAACTATGGAAAACCAAAAAATAAGACATGGTCTGCGAAAAGTAGATTTTAGGGTTCGGGAATCGGTTACGCATAAGGAAGGTATTAGCACCCTATCGCGCCTGCCCAAAGGCAGTACCTTTAATTAAATGTATAAAGTTGACGTGGTTTTTCAAAATGTTTAAATTTCCCTAAAAAAATAAATAAAAAAAGCTATTTAAAACAAAAAAATATTTTTTGTTTTATGAACCCGACAAGAATTGACCTTGGTCCTACGTACATCCATTTATAATGGACAATCAGGGATCACGTAGTTCTTTATCTAGAAAAATGTTTGTGAGTTTGTTTAAAAATTATTATTGATTGATTTAGATTTTTGAAAAGTGAATCCGAAAAAAAATTTGGTTTAATAAGATTGACATCTTTTTTGGTTTTGAAGATTTTGTATTTTTTATTTATTTAAGAATGGTGGAAAAAAGAAAGAAACCGGCCATAGGCCAACACATACTTATAAAAAGTTATGATTTAAAAAAACATTATTTGTGTGTAGAAAAAAAACATACCTTTAGAAAAAAAACTTCAGAGTACAATAAAAAGAGGAAAAAAATGGTGTAGATGTGACATACCTTTTTAGCTTTTAGTACTCTCCTCTTTCTTCTTTGATGATTGTCATTGACAGAACCCTTATGGGTGAGAACCTATTTTTTTTTCTATACTCTCTTTCTATTATTTCTGCATGCTTCTCTCTATTTTTTTTCCACCCCTTTTTCTATGGCAGAGTGCATATTTATATACACACATTGTAATATTATGATAATCTTGCCCTTAATTGTCAGTTAATTGACAATGAACAAAACAAGGAAAGAAATGGTCTTGGTTGCTAGAAAACAAATTAAATAATATTCAAAACATTGATTATCATTATTGTCAGAAAATCATATTTTCCTCTTTAAAAGCAACTGATGCAACAAATTATATTAATATACTATTTTAATTATTGTTTATAATTATTAGCATAATATTAATTCAAATTAATACTATATTAAACTAACATTTCAAAAATATTGTGTTTGGTATTAAACTTATTATTTTATCCCTTTTTACCCACCATTAATTATTATTCTCTTATTTTTTTTATTTTTATTGATTTATTTACCCGGACGAAATTGGGTGTTAACACTGTGATTCGTTCATCGCCATCAAAACTTCCTTGTTGACGAGAGGGATTACCTCTTAGTCTTTACCTTCAGTCTTCTGGTTGACGAGAGGGATTTACCTCTCGGTCTTTATCATCAGCTTTCTAGTTGATGAGAAGGATTTACCTATCGGCCGAGAGGGATTTACCTCTCGGTCTTTGTCATAAGCTTTGTAGCTAACGAGAGGGATTTACCTCTCGGTCTTTGTCTTCAGCTTTCTAGCTGATAAGAGGGATTTGCCTCTTGGTTGAGAGGGATTTACCTCTCGGTCTTTATCTTCAACCTTTTGGTTGACGAGAGGGATTTACCTCTCGGTCTTCGTCATCATCAAGAGGGATTTACCTCTCGGTCTTCATCATCAGCTTTCTGGCTGACGAGAGGGATTTACCTCTTGGTCTTTATCTTTAGAGCTCCTTGGGGGACTTCCTGGTTGACTATGAACTTCTTTAACGAAATTTGCAACCAATGACTCAACATGAATTGGTCGACTTTATTTATTCCATAATGAAAGCACAAGAAAATAACAAAAGTCTAAATCAAAGGAAACTGAATTTAAATATGACAGTAATAGAATTTTGGATGCCTCTCCTCAGTTGATAACTCCACGAACCGATCGTTCACAATGACGACTACGACTACGATCGAGACTGCGACTATGACCCCGCCTTCGTTCATCCTTCCAATACGACCGTTCGGGACTTCTTTGCAAATATCCTTCCCCGAGGGGGCTTCTTTTGTTTCTTTTATGTACCTACGGAGATGTCTTGTCTGAATGAGACATTCTATTTCATTTTTCAGCGTAAGGCATTCTTCTGTAGTATGTCCATAGTTTTGATGGAAATGGCAACTCTTCCTTTCGTCTGCGTTTTTTGGAGATGGTTTCCTTTGGAGTGTGAGAAGTTCAGTGTTTAGGGATTCTTCGAGAACTTTTGTCGTAGGTGCGTTGATGGTTGTATAATGGTTAAACTTAAATGTTCGGGGAAGCTCCCCACTTTTATCATTATTGTCGAACGGTCGCTTGCCATCCATTCTACTTTCGCCTACATCAGCTTCTTGTTGTCGCTTTCGTTGTGAGATTCGCATTTCCTCCATACGAATGAATTCAACTGCTCTTTCTTGGAGTTCTTTCATAGTTTTTGGTGGTTGCACATACAATTTTTCAGCAAAATATCTTGGTCTTAGGCATGAAGACAAATTGTTGATGATAAAAGAGTGATTGACCTCTTTAACTTGCCGTGCGGTTTCAGTATATCTTTTCATAAAGGCCTTTAAAGTTTCCCCTTTCTCCTGCTAAGTATTTACCAATTCCGCTAGTGTTATCTCTTGTTACCGATTGGAGGCATATTGCCTTCTAAAGTGGGTTTCCATTGTGGCGAAGCAATCCACCGTGTTTAGGGGAAGAGTGTTATAGCACTCTAATGCCTCGTCCTTGAGTGATAAGGAGAAGGCTCTGCATATAACTGGATCACTATTCGTGTAGAACATCATTGCACTGGTGAAGATCCTGAGATGACTATCGGGATTTGCCGAGCCATCATACTTATCTAATACAAGAGGATTCTTCTCTAGCATTGGAGTTTGCATGATTATCATCGTAAAATGGAGTAAACTAGAGGGTCGAACGGTTTGTGGGGGGACGATTCTCTCCTTCCCCGATCGTTTGGGTCGGTGTGTTGAGATGGCTGTCGATTACGACTTCCATCGCTTTCATTCTGATGGTTGTTACCCCGTTCGGTTGTGGATACCGAGTGCTGAGCTAACCGTTCGNGTGACATACCTTTTTAGCTTTTAGTACTCTCCTCTTTCTTCTTTGATGATTGTCATTGACAGAACCCTTATGGGTGAGAACCTATTTTTTTTTCTATACTCTCTTTCTATTATTTCTGCATGCTTCTCTCTATTTTTTTTCCACCCCTTTTTCTATGGCAGAGTGCATATTTATATACACACATTGTAATATTATGATAATCTTGCCCTTAATTGTCAGTTAATTGACAATGAACAAAACAAGGAAAGAAATGGTCTTGGTTGCTAGAAAACAAATTAAATAATATTCAAAACATTGATTATCATTATTGTCAGAAAATCATATTTTCCTCTTTAAAAGCAACTGATGCAACAAATTATATTAATATACTATTTTAATTATTGTTTATAATTATTAGCATAATATTAATTCAAATTAATACTATATTAAACTAACATTTCAAAAATATTGTGTTTGGTATTAAACTTATTATTTTATCCCTTTTTACCCACCATTAATTATTATTCTCTTATTTTTTTTATTTTTATTGATTTATTTACCCGGACGAAATTGGGTGTTAACACTGTGATTCGTTCATCGCCATCAAAACTTCCTTGTTGACGAGAGGGATTACCTCTTAGTCTTTACCTTCAGTCTTCTGGTTGACGAGAGGGATTTACCTCTCGGTCTTTATCATCAGCTTTCTAGTTGATGAGAAGGATTTACCTATCGGCCGAGAGGGATTTACCTCTCGGTCTTTGTCATAAGCTTTGTAGCTAACGAGAGGGATTTACCTCTCGGTCTTTGTCTTCAGCTTTCTAGCTGATAAGAGGGATTTGCCTCTTGGTTGAGAGGGATTTACCTCTCGGTCTTTATCTTCAACCTTTTGGTTGACGAGAGGGATTTACCTCTCGGTCTTCGTCATCATCAAGAGGGATTTACCTCTCGGTCTTCATCATCAGCTTTCTGGCTGACGAGAGGGATTTACCTCTTGGTCTTTATCTTTAGAGCTCCTTGGGGGACTTCCTGGTTGACTATGAACTTCTTTAACGAAATTTGCAACCAATGACTCAACATGAATTGGTCGACTTTATTTATTCCATAATGAAAGCACAAGAAAATAACAAAAGTCTAAATCAAAGGAAACTGAATTTAAATATGACAGTAATAGAATTTTGGATGCCTCTCCTCAGTTGATAACTCCACGAACCGATCGTTCACAATGACGACTACGACTACGATCGAGACTGCGACTATGACCCCGCCTTCGTTCATCCTTCCAATACGACCGTTCGGGACTTCTTTGCAAATATCCTTCCCCGAGGGGGCTTCTTTTGTTTCTTTTATGTACCTACGGAGATGTCTTGTCTGAATGAGACATTCTATTTCATTTTTCAGCGTAAGGCATTCTTCTGTAGTATGTCCATAGTTTTGATGGAAATGGCAACTCTTCCTTTCGTCTGCGTTTTTTGGAGATGGTTTCCTTTGGAGTGTGAGAAGTTCAGTGTTTAGGGATTCTTCGAGAACTTTTGTCGTAGGTGCGTTGATGGTTGTATAATGGTTAAACTTAAATGTTCGGGGAAGCTCCCCACTTTTATCATTATTGTCGAACGGTCGCTTGCCATCCATTCTACTTTCGCCTACATCAGCTTCTTGTTGTCGCTTTCGTTGTGAGATTCGCATTTCCTCCATACGAATGAATTCAACTGCTCTTTCTTGGAGTTCTTTCATAGTTTTTGGTGGTTGCACATACAATTTTTCAGCAAAATATCTTGGTCTTAGGCATGAAGACAAATTGTTGATGATAAAAGAGTGATTGACCTCTTTAACTTGCCGTGCGGTTTCAGTATATCTTTTCATAAAGGCCTTTAAAGTTTCCCCTTTCTCCTGCTAAGTATTTACCAATTCCGCTAGTGTTATCTCTTGTTACCGATTGGAGGCATATTGCCTTCTAAAGTGGGTTTCCATTGTGGCGAAGCAATCCACCGTGTTTAGGGGAAGAGTGTTATAGCACTCTAATGCCTCGTCCTTGAGTGATAAGGAGAAGGCTCTGCATATAACTGGATCACTATTCGTGTAGAACATCATTGCACTGGTGAAGATCCTGAGATGACTATCGGGATTTGCCGAGCCATCATACTTATCTAATACAAGAGGATTCTTCTCTAGCATTGGAGTTTGCATGATTATCATCGTAAAATGGAGTAAACTAGAGGGTCGAACGGTTTGTGGGGGGACGATTCTCTCCTTCCCCGATCGTTTGGGTCGGTGTGTTGAGATGGCTGTCGATTACGACTTCCATCGCTTTCATTCTGATGGTTGTTACCCCGTTCGGTTGTGGATACCGAGTGCTGAGCTAACCGTTCGGTGCGGCCTCGCTCTACCCTCAGTGTCGCAATCTCTTCTGCGTGCTTTCGCTGCATCTCTTACTGTGCTTGCGTCTACGCTTGTATGGTTCTTGCATGTGCCTGTATCTATGCTTGCATCTACGCTATCAAATCTTGGGTATTCTGCTGTTTTATTAACTGTTTATCACAGTTTAATATTTAAGTCCTGATCGGACGTAAGTAGAACGTAGTGGAGCCTCTGTTGAACGTACCTGACTTTTAGCCCTAACCTTATATTTATAAGTGTCTCATAGACGAAATAATAACAAACTTACCTAGAGATTCAGTTAGTTATTCATCAACAACTTTATCAATATCTCTCTAATAAGATATCTTTGGTTATTTTAACCGTCTACTAGACTTTTGGCCCAATAATAAAATAAGCGCTGGTCCAATTATGGCCCAACATTAATAGAACCGTTTGCCCTGGTTGGTCATAGTAGTGACCAAATGGTGTTGTGTGGATGACTGTTCGTTCTCTATTAGGTATAATACAATATATAATATGTTATTCTAGCACAAATAATATATTATAATGAGGTCTTGGTTTCACACACTTTCATTTTCTAATTTTTCCGAAATAGACACTTCCTTCCACAAAGCTTTTCTCTCTCTCTATGAGATTTCAAGGGCAGGTCTTGGCTTTTTGATAGAGAATCTCTACATAATGGCCCCACCAATGAAAGAACCATCACTCACAATAAAAAGAAGTTTATACTTCATCCTCTCACACCTTCTCAAGTGGAAGAAGATCAAGCACAAATGACAAAGAAAATAGAAAAAAAAAGAGAAAAAGAAGAAGGTAAAAAGAAAATAGAAGACACATTTTGTTCTAAGTGTCAAAGCATGATGCAAAAGTCTCATGAATGCCCCAACAAGAAAATTATGATGTAAGGGCCAAAAGCTAGTGTAAAAGTGTGAAGGTCTCCTTGCCATCTTCCTCTAGAAGCATGGCAAGAAAAGACCTAAAGCATCATTGTGTGGGAAATAAAATTTTCAAGAGAAATGCTCCTACTTTCCAAGACCTTAATCATTCATTTGATTTAAGGTGTATCCTTATTGGGAGTTATATCCTTCACATACTCACTATTATAATACTTGTTCTAACTTGTGTTACACAATAGGTATTTGACCCTAGTGGAAAAATAAGGAAGAATTGGAAATTAAGAAGAAAAGGAAGTTGCCTTTAGCCCAGGTTGAAGATTTGAGGGCAAATCCTTTCAAGAGGGAGGGAATGATGGAAAATCCCTTAGCCATGGTCAAGCACTTTCAAGAGAGTTAAAGTCATCTTTGAAGATGGTGTCAACTCTACCTTGTGGACCACCTTTGGAGTCATCATGGAGCATGGATTGAAGAGTAGTGTAGGAATTTAGGCCATTGTATTAGGCCATGTAGTGTAGGTTTGTTTAAGGCTTGTATTAAGGCCTAAGTAGCATATGATTTTCCTTAAAAGTTAGAAATCAAAACAAAGTAGAAAGTGTGTGCCATGTGTCATGCTTCCATTGGAGAGGATTTACTTTTTAAAAGGTAGCCACATGGCACCTTAGGACTGGAGAGTTTTTGCTTTTAGTAGTGGTCACATAGCACTCTAGGAATGAAGAGGATTGTGTTTTGTGAGTGGCCACATGTCCTCCCATCATTGGAGAGGATTTGTGGACACTTGTCCACTCCTTAGAAGGCCTCATTTTTGGCCAATGAGAGCAAAGGTGGGAGATCATGCTTTTAGGGTTAGAAGGAGACACCCTTGACCTATAAATAGAGGTGTCTCTACCCTTGTATTTCATCTTTGATGTTGAGTAATGTTATGCTGCCCATTTTTAGTCATACTACTCATCTTAGATCAAGACTAGAGCAACCCATGAGGCCCCTCTGGTCACCTTCCTCCTTGAGTTGGCCTAACCTCTCTTGGAGCCACTAAACACTACACCACCACCACCATATCTCCTAGAGGCTTTGATCTTCTACACCATTCATACCTTAGTTCATCATCCTTGGACCATTTACCACCACATTTCCGCAACATTCATCCAAGGAACACCCCTCCATACACATCTCCTAGCTTTGGCCCAACCTAGCTAAGGAAGTTTCTATCACATATAGTCATAAGAACAACGACAATGATTGCAACATATACACTATAAGTTGTGGTAGTTAGAGTTAACTACTCTTTCTACCATTATTCATGGACTCTCTTAATCTATTAATAAGGCTGCAAACAAAATTTCATGGAGACTATATCAACGTTTAACTTCTCCATAATTCTACCATTTTAGTTAGATAATCTAGGTAAAGAAGCTTATATTACATTTTTTTTATATTTTTTATTTATAATTATTTTAATATTTAATTGTTGGTTTAATAGCCAATTTAGTCCCCACTTTGGTTGAAAAATCTCAATTTAGTCCCTCGTTATAAAAGTGTTTTACATTAGTCCTAACTTTTAAAATAGTGGGTCAGATTGGTCCCTTTCGTTAAATATAAGTTAACGAAATTAATGGATGATGATGTGACACAGCTTAAAGCTGATGTGTTAGATTGGTCCCTCGTTAGCTTTAAGTTGTGTCACATCATCATCCATTAATTTTGTTAACTTATATTTAACAGAAAGGACCAATCTGACCCACTATTTTAAAAGTTAGGACTAATTCAAAACACTTTTATAACGAGGGACTAAATTGAGATTTTTCAACCAAAGTGAGGACTAAATTGGCTATTAAACCTTAATTGTTTTTATTATCAAAATTTATTTTTGTTTGTGAGATGCTTATAATCTCATATTCATTATATTTACTTTTTGTATTTAATTTTATTTAGTGAAGTATTATTAATTTTTATATTTATTTTTGTATTTTATTTATTTAGTGAGATGTTACTAACATCGTCTTCGTTTTTATTATTGATTTTTATTTTATTTAGTGGGATATTCATATTCATTCTCATTTATATTTTTCTTTTGTATTTAAGTTTATTTAGTGAAGTGTTCTTAACACTATATTTATTTATTTTTTATTTATTTTATGTGATAAAGTGCTTACAATCGGTTTTTTTATTCATATTTGTTTCAGTTTCTATTTTAACTAATGAGGTGCTTTTAATCTCATTTTTTATTTAACTGTCTTTATTGTTGAGATTTACTTTAGTGACTAAGGTGTCAATAACTTTTTTTTATTTATTTATATTTTTATTCCATTAGATGTGGTTGTTCTTAACCTAATTATTTATTTATTTATTACTATTATTTATTTCAATTTATTTTATTTAATAAGATATCCATAATTTTATTTGTGTTTATATTTATTTTAATATTTATTTTATTGAGTAATAAGGTGTTATTAACCTCATCTTTTTTATTTATCTATCTTTATTATTGGTATTTATTTTATTTTATTGAGATTTATTTTATTTTATTATGTGTAAAATTTCACTTTCATTTATATTTATTTTTGTATTTATTTTATTTAAGTAAAGTGTTCTTCACCTTATTCTTATTTATCTCTATTTAACTTCATCACATCTCATCTTTATATGTAAAGTACTTGAACACAAAATGAACATTGCTCATCCATAAAATGAATTAAGAGAAGAACTAGTATATTGGTTGAAAATGTGAGAAATTTTTTGAAAATTATAAAAAAAGCTTTTAAGTCTATTCCCTCTAGTTGCCTTTCATAGGGATAACAACATTACGTACTAGGCTGATGATGATAATTAACTTAAAAAAAAATTAGTTTTAGTTTGAAGAATCATAAGAGCGTAGTTTAGAAGTCCTTTAGATAGAATGGGTAAGTTTTTTAAAATTGAAATTTGTTGTGTGATTGAGAAATACCTAGAATTATTGTATGTATATATGTTGAATGAATTGTATGAATTTGGTTATTTCTAAGGATAAATGCCCACATTGTATAATGTAATGTATACATTGGTGGAAGGATTTCAGTGTGAAGTCATCATGACTCTCTTAAACTCTCATATTCATATAGAGAATGAAAATTACGTGGCGAGAGTCAAAGGATGTTCCTAATTTGCAATATCAGTGCAAAATAATATTGTGACTTAAAGGATAGAACGAAACTAACCATGTCATGGTGGTTTTTATGATAAGGATGATGGTTTTGGGATAAGGAAAAATATTGTTGATGTTGAATCTATTGTATTAAAAATTATGACAAGTGCAAGACTTTATAAGAACATCGACACCATATTTATACTTCTCCGAAACTAGACTCTTATTTATAGGTTTATTTGTGTTTAATGATGAGTTGAATGATTAATATATGATTGTAACTTGATTGATACGATATGAAATTTTCTATGATGGCTTTTTATGACTTGGTGAGATGATATGAGAATTCTTGAAGTGAGAGTGTGTGCAAGAATGAATAAAATTTAGGTTTAAATACTGAAAACCTATAAGATCATATAATACAAATATATTATGATTGTGATAATTTTATTAATATGATAATTTCTAAGGATAAGTGTCATATTCAATAAGGTGATGTTGCATTAAGTTTGAACCCAAAGAGTGAACTCATTGTGATTCTACTAAATTCTCGTACTCATAAAAAATAGAGTTTAGGTGGTGAGAGCCAAAGGAGGTTTCCGGTCTACATAATTTGTATTAAATGATATTGTGACTTAAAGGATGGAAATTAATTATCCTTGACATAGTGGCAAATGATGTCTTTGTACATGATGGTGAGAAGCAAATGTAAGACTTCAAATAAGAGCATGGGAGATTAAGATATATGTATACCAAAGATCCTCTTGTTAATGTAATATTTATATTTCTTCTTTGAAAAAAAA